AGCACTGTTTTGTTCTGCTGTGCATGGGGTCGCTATGAGTCGGTTCCGACTCGATGGCACCTGACAACAACAACAACATATAAAGGATAAACAACACAGCTAACTACAAGAAAAACAAACTTAATGCCTTTCAATTCTTCTAAGAACTTGGGAAAACTGTTACATATTATAAATGAGTATGTTTTCTCATACATGCAACAATAAGGATTATATAAGGACCTTAGTGCTATATCATCAACACTGATAAGGAACACTATTAATGCTGAAGCTCACTAACCTTGACGTTTATTCATCATTACCTTCTTGAAGCACATGAACATCCTAGTTTTAAAGGAAAAACTTAGATTAAAAGCTAAGCAATAATCTCTAGAAGCCAAGACATAATTTCTAGCTCCTAGAATTTTGGGCAGTTTTTATATTAGTCCAATAAACATTAACCACTGTTTTGCTGAACCTCCTATCAAAATGTTAAGTAAAATTGGCTAGGATACAATTTTAAAGAAACAATTGTTTCAAAGTATCTTCCATTTGAGTTGCTACATTAAATAGGATACTTATTTTTTGAAACAACGTAGAAAATGTTTTATATGGATCAAACCACCATATATACGTCTATATAATGGATATAATTTTAAAATGCATTTAAATCACTGTGGGATTGTAGTAAATGAAATTTTATTATTTTGAAATCCACAAACCCAGCATTTGGTGCATTATTGTTCTTATGTTTTCTATCCAGTAGCATCAGTCAATAAATACAATTTACATACTGAAAAAGACTAGCCACTTAAAACTAATGTAGAAAATTATTTCCATGTTGATAAAAGTTGTTCTATCCATGAACAAAAATGTGTTCTAAGTGGTAACTCTACAAACGACACACACCCTCAAAATAAGTCCAGCATGAGATTCCCCCCCCCAAAATGATCAATTCTGCTTATAAATACTGCAGACCAAGAATATTTACAGCAATTAGTTTTAAACACTTTTTTTTAAAGCACTGTTACATGAAAATGTCTTTCAGCAAAACTAGACTTTAATTCTTATTAAAATGCTGATTTATAACTGACTTATAAATTAAAGACTGTATCATGGATAACTTACTGATATAATTCTTTAATAAATATTTATATCTAATTAGAAGACTAATTTAAAAGTAGTGGATACTGACAGTGTAGTGAATTTAATAATTGTCAACAACTCTTTAAAATTAGCATTTAAAAGAATGACAGAATCTCTATTTCTGCCACAGCAATGTAAGTTTCACAATACATATAGTCCCAGACAAATCACAACTTTAGTTTTTTTGAAAAAATATAATGATCAGTTATCAAAAAATTTTGACAGTAAGGTGCATTAAACGCAGGTGAGGTTGCATGTGATCAAGAATTCCTATTTTATAAAGATTTTCAGAACTTAGGAAGTAAAAATATAAGTGAAAATGAAATCCATACTCTGAAATGCAAAATGATCCAACATTGTTGGAATTCAAAATTTTTCCAAAAGAAATTCTTTATAATGAAATAATCACACCTTAACTATATGACCCATAAAAAGGGTGCTATTTTTCTTCCTTCTCACATAAGAATACAGTCTAGCCAAAATTTTCACAATAACCAGCAGCAGCACCTTGAAATTTCAAATGCAAACTGGAGGGTTTGAAATTAAGTACAAATATAGGCCCAAATTTTTCCGATCACTATCACAGACAGTGTATTAACATTCCCAATCCTGGTTAGAAAGCAGTTACTGGAAAGCACAGTCCGTGGGCATGAAAGTAAAGAGGGGTCTGAAACTGACCACAGCACAGGTCAACAGAATGATTTAGTCCTCTCCCACTTCACCAGGTGGCCAAAGTAATCAGAGTGGGGAGACTGATGAAGAAATCGTAGTCTTCGCAGGACAAAAGCAAAGTAGCAGATTATGGATAAACCACTCCAAAGGTGCACTCGACCCTAGAATGAACGTGAAGAGGCAACTCCTCTCCATCGAGGAGAGCAACTAGCAAGGAAACGGTGTGCAAAGCAAGTAAAGACAGAGAAGACAATCTCGTTTCCCTCCCCTAGCATCAACATCTAACCCAGCTAGAAGAGGCCGGTGGGGACTGCTCTTCAGAACATCAACAAAGGCCCCTTCAGTCCTAAGGCGAAACTCGAACAACAAAGGCCTAGAGACAGAACAGGGCCAGGGACTGGACGGATGGAAGCAAAGGAATCAAACCATTGGGGGCGGAGGCCCGTAGGAGTAGGAAACCGGCGCAGAGGCGGGGGCGCGGTAATCCCCAGTGCACAATAAGAAGAGCAGGAAGAGGACCTGGCCTCCATTCCCTACCTTATCCTCTCCTTGCAAAGGAGAGCTCCAGCCCTCGCCGCCTCCATCTCCTCAGCAGAGGGGACCGAGCAGTTCCGAGTTCGGAGAAGGAAAGGGGAGGGGGTATTTTCCGCTCTGACCACAACTCCCTTCCCCCAACTAAGAGCCGGCGTCAACAACAGACACACAAAGGCGCCTTCCTCGTACGCCCCGCTCCGCCCCGGCAACAGCGCCGACGATGCCAAAGCAGCGAAGACCACCGCTCCACCGACTGGCGCTCGCTCGCCCTCTTCCCTCTCTAACCAGGGGAAAGGGGGAGGGGACCCGAGACGCCCTCACCTGGCACAGCTGCTGACAGTACTCCGTGGCCGCTTCCACGGCCGGTACCCTGCTCTCCCGCAGCTGACGCTCCAGCTCCTGAAGCCGTTCGCCCAGGCGCTGCAGCTCCGCAACGCAGCCGCCTCCGCCGCGGCTCAACCTCTCCTGCTCGGCCTCTTCGTCCGCCATCTTCACACCCCGCTCCGTCGCGTACGCACCTGGGTCACGTGATAACACAATGCCACGTTCGGAGGGGTCACGTGCCGGGCGCGCTCGCACGCCGCCGAGCACGTACAAAGGACCCGATGGGGAGCGGGGGGCGGAGAGTGTGGCGCGTGAAACCCCGAGCGAAGTGAAGGGAAGGGGAAAGGAAAAGGGCGGGGTTGGGGCGGTGCGGAAAAACGCGGTTTACTTACCCTGAGCGGGAAGTGGGCAGCTGCGGCTGAAATGGGCGGGCCGGTGGAGGCCTGCTCCTGGTCACGAGGGCACTCCGACCGGGAAAATCCTAGAAAAGGGCTGCCCTTTCCAACGTCCGCTGACTGGCGTGGCTTTCCTCTTACCCCGAGGTCTCCTGCGGACGTAGGCCCTAGTCCCCCAAGAGGACAGAAGAACAGTTTCCAGTGAGCTGGGACAAAGATGCATTTGCTGTTAGCCTCTAGGCAGGCTAGATGCTGGGGAAAACGGAGAAAGTAAAATCCACCCATGGACTGCGAACTGTCAAAACTGTCTGACTTCTCACCGGGCGGGGGAGGAGAGATCTAGTGTTGAAGGTTCCAGCTCTCCTCCTCCCGCTAGACTCTCCTCTTCAACAGGAGAACGCCTCTCCCTTGGAGAAGCAATCTCTAGTGGGTGGAGGCAAGAAAGATAACAATTAGGTCAGAGCAGAATGAGATTCACATCCTCTGTCCGGAGAACGGAGCAAACTACTTCAGAAACGAATAGTTTAAGAGAATTAAAACGTACTATAAGATTGTGGACATTTTACCCAAATGTTTTTTAAACTACGAAAGCATTGCTATAATAAATACTAGCCAGCTAATCTGTTTCTCTTTGATTTAATACTCTTCTACAAACTACAGAAATGGCCACTACTGAAAACTGTATGTATGTGTATATAGAGAGGGAGAGAGAGTGTCCTACCTAGTGTGGCGCTGTGGGTTATTGCAAAGTCGGTTTGAACCCCAACGTTGGCTGTTTAAACTCACCAGCCGCTCCTCGGAAACTCTATAAACGGTCGCTATGGGTTGGAAACTACTTGACGACACGTAACAAAAAGGTGAAACTGAGAAATCTGAGATTAACCAAATAGATCAGTAAATTCAAGGACAGATAAAGTATCAAAAATTAACAAAGCCCATTTTCACTTCAAGTCTAATGGTTTACACTACAACTAATTAATCGATAGAAAGAATAAAAGGAAAAAAATAATTTATCCAAACATTGGTTATAAAAATAACCCTCAAATGTATGTCCTCCCTGCAGCCTCGTGATAACCCTAAAACTAAGGGGACAATAAACTGATGCGGTAAACTATTACTGCTTTGCAAAAATACTTTAGGAAGATAATACACCCTTCACTTTTATTTGATATTTTTATTTTTGAGTCTTACCTTCCCACTCCTCCATAATTTCCCTCTTACATACAGAAAAATTTAGAACCTACTGGAAATGTAAGTACTGGAAGAGACGTGGCATTATTTAGTAATAATTTTGCTTTTATTAGGTGCTATTGTGTTGGTTCCAACGCATAGCAACCCTATGTACAACAGAAGGAAACACTGCCTGGTTCTGAACCAACCTCATAGTCGTTGCTACCTTTGAGCCCATTGTTGCTGCCACTGTGTCAGTCCATCTCATTGAGGTCTTCCTTGTTTTCACTGACCCTCGACTTTACCAAGCATGAGGTCTTTCTCCAGGAGTAATCATTCACTGAGTATTTAATATGCAGTAGACATTGTTGATTTGGTGATATCAGATGAATTAAAAACTATCACTGCCTTGGTAAATCTTAAAGTCATATGAAAGAATGACAAGCAATTGTCATGCATACAACAATAAATATGACAATGTTGTATTATGAACATGATTGTAAATTCAACTCAGAACTCCAAAGTAGTCTGATTAATGTACTAACTAGAATGTCTGCAGAATCTACAGAAGTGAAGACTTGTTTGTTTTTTAATTTAGTGAGGATGAAAATACTATTCTTTGACAGGTCGACCTTGTGGAGGTTTGATAATCTCGTTCTTATCCATAGAAAAGGCATATAATTGACTTAAAGGAATTTAATACCCTTAAATTCGTTTGTTCTTTGAATACCAAACTACAGTTCATAGGAACATTATGCAATTATACACACACACACACACACCCCCCTACTTACTGAGATGCTCCTGGGAGAATTCGGAAACTCGGTCCAATGAGAAAACAAGAATAAGCCCTTGGGCCAAGAGACTCCGCATATTTAAGGAACTCAGTATTTGCACTGTGAGTACCCAGTCCCATTTGGACACAAGATGGTCACTATGGTATGGCCATATGGACTTTTACTACTGAGACTTGATTTCAGAGTAAATTTTGGTGAGGAAACTAGACTCCCTTCCCCGCCCCACTCCAGAGATATATAAAGCTGGGGAAACTTTTGGGGGAGGAGACAGATGTACAGCCTCCTGGCAGTGTGCGCTTGCAGCCCATACCCACACCGCGTCAGTGCACTTTTTCTAGAATTCTTGAAAGAACAGGGCCTCGCGGCTGGAAGTGAGGTTTTTTGTGCTTGCTGAAAGCAGGCGGTGCAGAGCCAAGGCCGCGCCAGGGATCCAAAAAGCATGGTGTTTGAAGATGAAGGACAGCTGAGGGTTGAGTCCTGGCAGATCCTTCCGACCCCAAACCCAGAGAAACTTGGCAACCCGATCTTCACCCAGAACGCAGGGAGGAAGCGCAAGGCCGGGGGTGGTGGTGGAGAGTGCGCGCCGCCTTAGGTCGCGGTTTCTCTCTTCCCGGGCCCTCCTCTGGAGTCCAGGGACGGAGGAGGTGGGTTGGGCTGAGACCCGGGCAACAGCCCCCCTCTCTGTGTGTTCCCACCCGGTCGCCACCGATACTCGCGTCAGGCCCAGGGCGGTCGCCGACGCTAGCAAGACACACTCGCAGGCATCCAGATGCCGCAGCCTGGGCATTTGCTGTATCAGTTTTCCCACCCAGCTCTGCAGATCAAGCCCAGAGCAGAGGCCGGCTAGGGCCTCCAGATCTAGAGATGCTGGGACCTCTCCTTGGCGCGGTAGGGCGCGGAGCCACGAAAACCAACCGGACAGGGATGCTTGAATCTTTCCTGCGGAGGTGACGACGCGGGCACTAGTGCCTGGTCTCGAGCAAGCTGGACCTGCTCCACTCCAAAGGACTGGTTGACAGTCTGTCTCCTGGCTCTCAGAGCTGTAGGTTGGATCCTTCTGGGATCTGGTTCAGTAAAAAGTACCCCAAGGTTCTGGCAACCAATGTTCTGCCCACAGATGCAAAGAGGGAACATAGGAGAAAGCTATTGGAATCTGTTAAAAACACGCCACGCTTTCCCAAGAAAGACATTTTCCTCTTGAGCAATAAAGGGAATTAAAGCAAATGTTTTAAAAGACAAGGCAAGTGATGTACCGCATACTGAAATGATGCCAAAAGGACAGGAAACATTGGACATTGGATACACATTCTAAGAGGATTAATTTTAGTCCTTGAGTTTTTCACCAGAAAGAAGGTAGCCTAAATGAACAGACAATTAAGTGAGGTTGGATATTTTTATTGCTTATTTGGATAGTAGAAAATACGTTTTCTTTGCATAAAAGGAAAATCCAAATTAAAATAAGAAAGTAGTAACATTTTAAGGAAACTGTTTTTAATAGTAGTCTAATTATCCAAAGTTCTAAACAACCAAGGTGAAGAAGATTATGAAATAGAAGCAAAATAAAATCTTTTAAAGAATAATGTGGTGATATGAGACTTCTGGCAAGGTAGTGGACTAGGCGGTTGCACTACAGGACCTTCCATGGTCCCTCTACAGCAAAGATACAGAGTTCAAATAAAATATATACAGAGGAAAAACCTCTCTAATTATGGAACCCTAACTACTAGCGTAGTGGTTACGAAT